CAGTGAATCAGTCTCTCTCTCTGTCTTTCTTTGTTTATCTCTCTCTCTCTCAATATATGTAACAGTTCCTTGCTCCTTGAACATTGCATTACCTAATACAACACCACTACTGTTTTTAAGCAAATATTTTGCAATGCAAAATTCTAAAGAATCCCATGTGTTCAATGACATGTGGATTAGTGACGTAGTGTGTGTTAGAATGCTAAGGAAGAAGCCAAAATGTTTCTATTAAACTGCTTGAATCTAGAGATCAAGTACAAAGCAGAATGAATATCACAATGAGAAAATGTGAATTGATGCCATAGTACATTTTTATTACTTATGGATCTACTTGGCTTATGATAGTAACTTTAGAATTCACCCCTTCGAAGCCTTTTGTATGATTTCCCTTCATTCTTCAAGTTGGTAAGGTTGGTTGACATTCTCACTTGCTTTACCCTGGAGGAAGTTAGGTCCAAAGAAGTCTGATCTCTTTCCCACAACTCAGGCTTGTTCATCTCGGTGCTGGAAGGGCAGTGCCTGGCTTCTGTTTGGCTTCCCCTGGTAGCGTAGCTGAACTATTGATGTCTTCCCTGTGTCCATTTAGTCAGCAGATAAACACAATTCTTAATCTCAACAGCAGTACTTAAAGAAACTGTATGTATACATTCATTTGGTGGTGGGGGTGGAGGAAGTTAGCAATTCTTGGAGGATGTAGAGGTCAGAGATGGCTCTTGAGATTTAAAAGGGCAGTAAAATGTTACAAAATTTTCTGTATTCATCTCACATAAAAAGACGGTATAGGCTCTTGTTTACTGTGGTATCTATTGGTGTCTGTGTGTGTTCGTAAATAAATAAAGCTTTTCTTGTTGTAGCAGTTACTAAAATAGGTAATAAAACCATCCATGACCCTATGAGCCAAAGAACACACTGTTTTGGCATGTAACCTTCCAGTCTTTGTTTCCAAATGCGCATATATTGTTATTTTTTACTTTTTTCATATAAATTGTTGCATACAACCCTTATGAAATTTCACCAAGAATAACATTCGCCATTTAGTTCTAGGAGAACATGTTCAGTAGCATAGTTTATGGTCTTGATATTTGAAAGAGTTCTCTTCATGTTATTTGGTCACATTCCAGTCCCTAGCAGAGAATTTGCCATTTGTTTTCTCCAAAAGGACATCTTTTTCATAGGGAACTTTGGAAATTCAGGTCCCAACATTTCTCACTTGTATAAATCACACTTAGACTCACACTTTGAATGTACCCTTCCCCGTAAAAGTTTTTCTGGGACCCCTTTGAAATAGCATTTGCTACATTCTAGGCTCTAAGAGCAGATGGTACCATCCATAGAATTTTTCTTCTGCCTCTTCTCAAAATTTCCCTTCCTTTCTCTGAAGGAAACAGGTGAGCCCATGAAGACAGGTGCTGTCTCCTCGCCTGTGCCTTGTTTATAGCATGTGACACGATGTATACAACCCAAGCTTCCTGCTACCCTTGGGAACACGAAGTGCGATTTCTCTGGGGAAAACCACTGTCTTGCCGGCAAGTGTGGGATCCTGCTGCTTTCTGTTGTCCATCCAGTGCTAGGTCTTGGAAAATTCTGCTACATGATGACCTTTTCTGAGTATTTTCCATTAGGTCTCCCAGCCTGTTTTCAAACCATCTGAGTAGTTTTGGCTAAAATACATTATAAATTATAATCAGGGGCTTTGTTCCAGCATTCATATTCATTAGATTTTAAGATTTAATGACTATGTGGACTTAAAGCAAATCCTTGATTTCTTTTTTAAAAAGCACTCGAGTAGAGGCTCTCGAGTTTTGACATTTTGAATACTAATTTGTGGCCAGTTTTGGCTCCTGTAAAAGGGCTGGCTTTTTAGAAAGAAGGTAGCAAAGAGGAACAAATTCCTCTTTAAATTCAAAGAAACTTTTCTTATTTGTTGTAAAATACAACTTGTGGTGTCAGTTGACTTGGGATCTTTTGGAATATTGTATGAACTGCTTCCTCAGAAGAAGCAGACTGTAACTGTTAGCCCAGTATGCTGTAGACTGGTTGGTTTTGTACCATTAATGGAAGGGCCATTAATGAATTAACGTTTATTTATAGATAACTTTTACTGCCTCAGCAAGATATGAATATGGTGTTCTTGATAAAGGATTCTAGATTAAGGCCACGTCTGCTTAAACTAGCCCCTCCGATCCCTGCACCTCCTTGCCCGGTTATGAGTTTGGTGTGGACGGTCATGGAAAGTGGACCCGGTGCATCTGTTTGGGTGTATGTAACACCCATCTCCTCCTGTACCTGCCATTCTGCAGTGTGCTGCTTGCATTCAACGTTGTGTTTTGGAGACCATCCATGTTACACATAGAGATAGCTCATTCCTTTTAACCTCTGCAGACTGCCTTATAGGTTGGCTGTTCCACAGTTTATTTAGAACCTCCAGTCCTTTCCAGGTTTCCTTTATACCAGCAGTGCTGCAGTGAGCATCCTTATACCTGCACCTTTCAATGGGCAAGTGTTTCTCTCTGATAGAGAAAGAAAAGTACCTTTATTTTATACATGAAATCTTAAGAGACAGGGAATGTAAGATGGTCTGGTTTTTTTTAAAGATTGATTTATTCATTGAGAGAGAGAGAGCAAGCAAGGGGGAGGGACAGAGGGAAAGGAAAAGAGAGTCCCAAGCAGACACTGAGCGCGGCGCCTGATGCTGGGCTCAATCTCACAACCCTGAGATCATGACCTGAGCTGAAAGCAAGAGTCTGACACTTACCTGACTGTGCCATCCAGGCACCCCTAAGATGGTCAGTTTTATACGTGATAAGCAGAATACAGATCAAAGCCATTTTCCCTGACTCCTCCTACCTAGTTGGAGATTCTGGACACATTTTTATAGAGGGTCACTGGGATCCTGGGTGAAGTCAAGTCTGGTAAAAGCTAACTACAGTGAAATGTTGCTTCTTCCAGTTAACTAAGAGGGTCAGTCTGATTTAGGAAAACATCTGAATTCAAAGATGTAATATTATACAATTTTGAAGTGTATATAGTGACCAGCACTAATATGACTTAATAAAATTCCCTGAGGGAATCACATTAATGAACACATAAAAGCACCTAATAATTTTAAAGAATAATGACACAACTAAGTTGCTCAACACAGTTATTCTCATCCATAGGTAAAATATTTCCCCTACAATGGATTCTGTATATTAGCCTGTTGGGCAAATGACTTTCCCTAGTTAGAGGAAGGTGACCATCACCACTTCTTTTCTGAATGGTGTAAATTCTCAAAGTAAGGTGTCATGGTTGACATTTGAGAGGCCTACTCTGTGCCAGGTATGAGGCTTTCCAACGTGTCGTCCTCATTGTCAAATCCTGTGAAGTGAGCCTGACTGTCTCCATTTCATAAACTGAGGCACTGAAGCAACCCATTGAAGCCTGCCTGAGTTCGCCCGACTTGAAAGAGTAATACTTATAGTCTCCTTCGATGTGGTCTTCAGACCTCCTGTGTCAGAATCTCCCAGATTTGTTCATACTGCAGATTCCCAGGCCCCCCTCAGGGTGGGGCCCGGGATTCTGCATTTATAACAATTCTCCAAATTCTCCATATGTACTTAGAAGTCTGAGAGCCACTTGGCCAGACTGTGGTGACCTCGTTTTGGTGATGTGATGAGCCTTGCCAGAAGAGTGTCCCCAGGCCCTTTGGGGACGAGTAATCCATGACAAGTCATGCCTCACTTGCAGTGGGCACATTAACAGTACTCCTCTGGTGGCTTCCTCCTACTCACCCACTTCGTTGCCTTGTGTTACTTGTGCTGAACTTAGCACAACTCACGGTTTGACAAGTCACTTCCCAAAGCATTGAAATCATCACACTACAGAGGGATTATTTTCTAAAAAAGGTTGAAGTTGCCAGTGCAAAATCATCAGATCCCAAGTATATCTTTTGTGCCCAGTGCAGATGGAATCTGCATTCTGCATTCTAACCCTCGCTCCAACAAAAAATAAAAAATAAATAAAAAATGAGAGGGCAGCTTGCAGAAATGATTACCTTTGAAACACCATTATATGCTTTTATTTTCCTTTCTAGCCCTCTTTTGCCACACTCCCCTGTTGGCAGATTTCCCATATGTCTGCCCGTATTCGCTGCTGACTCTTCTAGAAGTGTGAGGCAATCACCAGCCCCTTCCAGCTCTCACCCTCCCATGAAGGACAGGGTTCTGGAATAGCCAGCTAGGATCAGTGAATACCTTTTTCTCCTCTTCTCTCAGCTCCATGAAATTTCACTCCCCAACAATCTGCTTTCCCCTTAAGGGTCTGACCCCACCTAGCTAAATAGGAGTGTGCTTGGCTGATCTACATGCACAGAGAGGTGTGCCCATGATCTGGAGGGGTTCCTACACCAAGTTGAATTTGTGTTCTCTGCTGGCAAAAGAGCATCCGTCTTTGTTTTGGTGTTCAGCTCATCCAAATAAAGAAGGCATTTCCTCTCCTGAAAAGCAGAGGGGGGGAAAAAGGAAAGAAACGACCAAAAAAAAAAAAGAAAAGAAAGAAAAATTTAATTTTAACCATGTAGTCCTCTGCAACTAAATATACACCCCTTCCTCTGTCCTGATTGGTCCGCTTCAATTGACAAGTGGATCGTGTGGAAAGGAAATATCCTGGACTTAATTGTAAGTTAAGTCGCTCCTAATCCAGAAGAGCATTTGAGATTCTGTCCAAGTGTTCAATTTCCCAGGCCGCTGAGGTCTGTGAATTTCTTTTCCCAGCCTCCAGGCTGCTGCAGTACAAGCCAGCATAGCTAATGCAGATAGATCTCCTGCCTCTCGCTCTCCTCCTCCCTCTGCTTTGATTCGATATGAACAGCCTGGTAACTCCGATGCTGGGGAGAAATCTGACATAACTCTGCAGATGGCTAGGTTGCCATGAAACACCTGGGGATTGTTCTTTAAGGAAAAGGTAACATTTATATGCTAATGATTTCTTCCCCTCTTCCCTCCTTGTTGCATTTTTTCCAGGGTTGCCAGTTCCCAAGAAGAGCCCAAAGTCGGTAAGGACTTATCAGTTACTTGGTTCTTGTCTGGGGGGAGTGGGGGGCTGGTGGTGGGAAGGGACGCCGTCTGCTTGACTTCACGAAATGTGTTTTAGAGTAGGTGGGGGCGACAGTAGCCCCGGGCTCATTTTATTAAGTTCTGGGGGTCTGTTTGATAGAGAAGGTATTGGGTTTATCTTTAACTGTCTAGTGATTTTTGGGCAGGCTGCAGAAGCCAGGTTAAAGAATGTATGTTTGGAATCTTCTCTGTATAAATACATTACAACTCTTGTTCAAATGGATGGAGTTTCTTCCGTGTTTTAACTTGATACAAACGCTATTGTTTCCTTGGGGGGGGGGTGAAGGGAAGCTCCACCTGCTTCCTGAGTAGGGTTGCTCTTAACTGGTGTTTCCATCCATTCACATGGGCAGATTCTCTCCCTGAGCTTTCTTATGCACTGAATGGTGAATTATTTACAAAATTAAAAAGGCTGCAGGTTTAAAGAATTGCTCTGCCCTGTATATATATCCGTGTTCACATGGAACAGTGTTCACTGCCCCAGCACTGAGAATAAGACGTTTCCTTGCTGTCGAAATGTCCTTTGTTGTTTTGCTAGCTTTAGCAGCATTATGCTGCAGGTATAGGATTCTTTAAAAAAAAAAAAAATCAATGTTTTGCTGTCCTTTCTAATCTGGTTTCCCTGAAGATGCATTACCTAGTTGACATGTTAGCTAATAGCTTAGAGGCTATGGTGTTTTGCTTGGTGGTGTGAGCTTCTGCTCCCAGGGCACTGACAACAAATTAAAATGCTACTTAAAAACTCAAAATCTGGAACTATGATGCCTGTGAAATTGATCCAGGGGAAAGAAGCTTCCCCATTCATTAACATTAGGATAAAGAGGGGTACTTCCACGTGGCTTAGACTGTTGGGGGAGGGAAAATTTACAGCTTTCTGCCATCTGGGAAGGGAGAACCTTTAAAACTTTGCAACTCACGGGGCTGTAGCAGGATTCTTTCCACCTGTCTGTAAGAGGCAGAAGTTTATTAAGGAGATGAGAGAGGGAGCTTCCTGCATTCTTAAGCTCCACTCCTAAGTTGTCTAAAGAGAAAAACCTGCAATAATTGATGGGATTCCAATGGCACAGGGCTGTGGCGACTGAAACATGTGACTCTAGGGCTGCTTCCCTTGTCAGTTTGTGTTAATGTTGCAGCTGAAAAGTGCCGGTAGGTGTCCACATCGGAACCACGGAGATGCCAAGGCGTGCTTGTGGTGTGTGTGTGTGTGTGTGTGTGTACGTACATGGCACATGTGTGTCCTCGTCCCTGGGTCATAGTCAGAAGCCTATTCAGCCTTAAGAAAAAGAGAAGCAAACCTGGAAGATCTGTCACATAAGCTTCAGCTAGCCAGCCCTTTTCCTCCGGCACCCTCAAGCATGCTGTGTGATGCACGGACTTCTTTTACACACCCCACAGGGATGGAGTCTTAACAAGGAGCATACCGGGGGCCATACAGCAGCTTTGCACAGGGAGCATGACCTCAAGTAGCAAGGTGTTCTTTTCGGGTTTGCATCCTGTTTACACTTATTTGTCAGAAGGATTTTTGTGGATTTCATCCGCATCTTTCCTTCCCCAAAGTGTTTTGGGATTCCCTGCTGAACTCGAAGGGTATCAAACAGGTATAGAGCCTGTATTCACCAAGTCAGTTAAGAGAATTGCCTATGACAGTTTATTTTTGTAGAAGCCGTGTCATTAGCAAGCAGCAAGCCAATTACTCCGGCTGCATTCCTAGGAAAAAAGTGTTCTTAACTGCTTTGCCCACAGCCTGCTGGCTCTTAATTACCACAAGCTAAGAGACTGGTGTGTTGCCGAGTTAGAAAAGAGCAAGCCCCCAGCCTGGGGCTTGTCCTTACTTGATTGCTGTGCCAGGACGGGGATGATGGCTTTCACAGCATTGCTGGCACACTCGGGCAGCTGCTGTACAGAATTTGGGAACTATCAGCCAAGATCTGCTGCTGTCAGTAGGGCATTGCTAACATCTGTGATCTGTAGGAGCTCTGTACCGATGGGTTGAAAGCTGGTTCCCTTCCCCAGTTTGAATTTTGATGATGTCCTGCCAGAGAGACAGATGATGATGGGATTTCTCTGGTGGGGTCAGGGGGAGTCCATGGGGAAGCTGGATGTCATGGTTCCAGAAAGCCAGTCATATAATGGTAGATAGGGTTAGTTGTGCAGGCTATGTAATGAATGCACGGGGATTGTGCCTGGGTTGTGATATGTTGAGATTTACCATTAGCTCTGTGAATATACTGTCTTAACCCGGGACCATGTTTCTGCTCTTCTCTTAGAGACTTCTGACATTGTTGGCTTGCTCATGTGACTGACAGCTTCCTTTTGCCCTCATACTTTTTTTTTTTTAATGTTTTCAATAATTAAGTAGTTGGGTTTTTATTAGAACAAAGGGACTTTTTGATCTTGTTTCCCCTCCTGGGCAGCCTCTACAGCTTACTCTTAATAAGCAGTTTCATCTAGTAGATTTAGTTTAAATGTTGAGTTTATGGGTTCTGTACTCATTGGGAACAATGGCAGTGTCTTGATAAAACATTATTAATTTAATACCTGGACAGCCATAACATTAGGAATTTTTCTACCAAATGGCAGAGAAAAAAATAAGACATATTTGCTCTCAGGTTTTAGACCTCACTAGGAAACTGATTCTGAGGCCCAATTTAATCATCCTGACTGGAAACTTATTTAACTGAGACTCTCGTTCTGAATCACACACGAGGATTTTGTAAGAATTTAAAACTCTAGGGGAGCCTGGCAGGCTCAGTCAGTAGAGTGTGCAACTCCTGATCCCAGGGTTGTGAGTTCGAGTCCCATGTTGGGTGTAGAGATTACTAAATAATAATAATAAACTAAAAAAAAAAAAAGAATTTAAAACTCTAAATATACACAAAACCCTGAATTTTAAGTCAGCATTCACTTTTGTTTTCTCACCAGTTCATTTCCGAACTATTACTTCCCTTTCTCCCTTCCTTCATCTGTCCATCTATCCATCTATCCATTTATTTAGCATTTAGTGTCAAGAATCTAGTAAGTGTCAGGTTTGGTGTGAGGCACTGGAAATACTATGATAAGTAAGTTGGTCAGGTGACTTTCTTCGTGGAACTTAAAAACAAATGATGTTTTGATTGCTTCTTTCAAAAAAAGGACTCTCCAGCTTACTCTTAATAAGCAGTTTCATCTAGTAAGTTTAGTTTAAATGTTGAGTTTATGGGTTCTGTACTCATTGGGAACAAATCAAATCACCAAAATTTTTATGTACTTTTTCAGTGACATGTATTTGAGTATCTTCTATATGCCAGATCCAGGGACAGTATACAACATCTAAAGAGAAAACATTTCTGCCCTCACACAGCTGGGGAGAGATAAACAATAGCCACATAAACAGGCAGATCTACATGGATCCTCTTCATGGGTCATAAAATCCAAAACTTTCAAAAGTTCAAAAGCAGAAAGATAGGGGCCCCTGGGTGCCTCAGTCAGTTAAGTGTCTAACTCTTAATCTCAGCTCAGGTCTTGATTTCAGGGTGGTGAGTTCAAGCCCTGCATTGGGCTCCATGCTGGGCGTGGTGGTGCCTACTTAAAAAAATAAAAATAGGGCGCCTGGGTGGCTCAGATGGCTTCGGCTCAGGTCATGATCCCAGGGTCCTGGGATCGAATCCCACATCGGACTCCCTGCTCCTTGGGAGCCTGCTTCTCCCTCTGCCTCTCTCTCTCTCTCTCTCTCTCTCTCTGTCTTTCATGAATAAACAAATAAAATTTTTAAAAAAATAAAATAAATTCTCAACCTTTTAAAAAAAATAAAAAATGATAATTATAAATAAAAAGCAGAAAGATCATGTAGAACCAAGGACAAACATAATGAAAATCACTCAGCTCTTAATTACAACAGTATAAGTCAAGTAGTCCCACAAAGCCAGAGAAAGGACCCAAGGGTGAGATGCTGTGATTGAGCTATGGAATTTTTCCGAGTTCCCCAGCAGCCTGAGCAATGTAGGAAACCATATCTACTTAGCTGTTACTGTCAGATCAAAGAAAGCATACCATATTCATAAAAGAGATAAAATTTTCCTACTTAACGAAAAAACTTCTCACACAAAGTTTTCATACAGGGGACACCAAATATTGGAAAGATCAAGGAAGCCTGTTCTCTTCACCGAGCTGTTTGCAGCAAATGCAGCAAGCTCAAAGGGAGCAGTAGTGATAGGTTTCCCTTCCACGGCCCTCCATTCCTTTCCCCCGGAAGGGATCCTAAGGGCATTGCTGACAACCAGTTGTTAAGAGATGTGAGGGAGGGATCTCTCAGGGGCTGTGCCCAGAGAGTGACCCCAACCTGAATCACCCCATTTTATGTATCCTGCCTGTTTCTCAAACTCTCCTGGTTGTCTTAGCACCCCAGAGCCACTTGTCCTGCAACTAGGCAAGCGTACATGTCCAAGCTCCTGCAGGCTCCCAGGAGAAGCAGGAAGCAGTAGACGGAAGAAGGATTAGGATTGCTTCCGTAAATCTCCTTGCCCCTCAGCTTCTCACAGTGACCCAAACCCTCAACCCCTTGGAGTCTAGAAAACAGACTTTGCTTTTGTATTAGCTTTCTTTAAAACATCCCACATGAACCAAAATTCATTTTCCTATCCAGTTGCTACCTTCCTTTTATTCTCTATTAATTCCTCTCCTCTGCCCTTTTAGAAGAGATTATTTGACTTAGACCCATAAATGATAAAAGAAAGAGACAAGGACCATCCTCTGCTTTGGCTTAGAATTGAGACTCTGATTTTTGCACAACCTTTAATGACATTGGCCTAATATCTCATCAGCACTTGGAGTTTTTCCTGTTGTCCATGTAAATCACCGCAGTGGCCTTCAGTCTTGGCAGATAAGTGAACTGTAAATAATTTTGCTTTAAAATGGATCGATTTGTCATTTTTAAGCCACATGAATTTTTTTCATCATTTAA